TCTTCAAATGTGCTTTATAAGTTGAAGGCACCCCTTTCACCTCCCAACACCAAGGAAAGTAAAAAGAAAGAAAGAAAAAAATATTTTTTTTATCTTTTATTTCTTAATAGTTTTTCATATGCCTAATAATTTAATCTTAAATGCCTTTATTATATATTATATATATTTTTTATTAATGCAGTGTAAAGTCACAGAGTCTAATTTATTATAATTATTATCAATAAATTATCGTAATTGCTTTTGTTTTATTTCTCAATAATTTTTCATGTGCCTAAAGAATTAATCTTAAATGTCTTATAATTATTATCAATAAATTATCTTAATTGGTTTACTTTGTGGGTATGAGATTGTAATATTTTTTTCCTTTATTTTTTTTGCTGCATGTGTCTTATGGGGAGATTCTTTAAGCTAACAAACACATAGTTTATTCATAATCTCTTTCACTGTTTTATTTGCTAGTACTATTTAGGGATAAGGGTCTGAAAAATACCCAACTTTAGTCGAATTTGTTGTTGCGATATTAAATTTTCATGAGGACCTATTACCTCCCTAGACTATTTAATACCGTATTTTAAACATATATATTTGCCCACGTGGACATAAAAAATAATGCAAAATTATAAATAGTAATGTGTCCACGTGGACACATATATACCTTTAAAATACACTATTAAATAGTCTAGGGAGGTAATAGGTCCTCATGAAAGTTTAGTATCGCAACAACAAATTCAACCAAAGTTAAGATATTTTCAGACCCTTATCCCTAGTATTTATATTACCATGCGAAGCGCAGATAAGTGAGCTTATATTATAACATAAACATGTAATGATGTTATTCATATTTTTTAGAAATAAATCCTTTTTATAATGAAATCTTACTAAAAGAAATATATAGAGAGAGAATAGAAGAAATGAAAAATAATAATATCAAGAAATAACCTTGTATATACGTTAAGAAAAATGTTGTAATGTCTAAGTAACCATAAGACACCTTTTTTTTTTTTTTTTATCAAGTAAATATAAGACTTTGAAGCGGAATAGTAAAGAAGCACACTCAAGTAAAAATAAGAAATTTTCTAAAATAAAATATTCTAATTAAAAGAATATAAATAACTTATACAGCTATACTCATATATTTAATTATAAAAAACAAACACTATTTGTTTCGTACATTCTGTTTTTAATCTAAATAGGTCATAAAAAAAGAAATAAACTGGGTATGTAATTATAGATATACTTCATAATATATGTACATATTTTTTAAAAATCTATCTAAATAGAGAGCTTATCAAGCTATTTTTTTGTGTAGAATTTTTTAGTATAAAGGTTTAGATATTTGATATCAAAATGTGCATATATAATTGACTCATATTATTGGGATATTTTTTTTGGGTGTATATGTATTTTATTATTAAAATAAAATACTAAGTGCATATGTTAGTGAGTATAAATCACTATTGGTTGTTGTAACTTATATGACCATTACTTCTTGTAACTAACTTTCATGGTCATTAGTGTCTTGTAACTCATACAACCATTAGTTCTTGTAACTCTCAAGGTCATTAGTTTCTTGTAACTCATATGACCATCAGTTCCTTGTAACTCATGTAACATCTACCACATTACTATCCCTCATTCTACCCATTGATTATATGAAAGACTTCTTCACCTATAAATAGTGGTGTTTCTTCCTTTGTGAAGGATCCCAAGTAGAAGTGAAATAATGTAAGAAAAGATAAGAAGTTTATATTGAGGTTCGTGTAGTGAAAGAGAGAGTTGAGACAAAGAAAATATTCTAAGTCTTCCACTATATTCACTATACAAAAGAGAGTATTATATTTTGAAGGAAAGTGTTCTTTTTATGGAGCTTTGGACTCTTCAACTAATCCGGATTTGTTTGAGTTGTACGATGTTGTTGGACTATTGTATCCTGGAGGGGACAAGTCAAGAGTGATACTGCCGGAACGGTGTAGATTATGCCGCAGTGGGCTTGAATCTCCTTAAAGAGAGCGAGATATCCGCGCCCCAGCCTAAAGATTAATATATTCATTTTTATTCATTTTATTTCAACTGTAATTTATTATATTTGTGGTATATTACACCAACATTTTTAATGTTATTTTATCCAACATTATTCCAATCACCAATAAAAATGCAAAAAACTTACCTGCACCAGGTGTATACACCAAACTAATGCAATTTCCATTATTACATGATTTAATGAAGTAAAACATATGTTAATTAATTATGATTAAGTAAAATGTACAATAAATTTAAACACATGACATGCATGTATTGACTTGATGTAAACACCCAATACGGGTAAGTCTTACCAAATAAAAAATCTAGTTGAAATTTATTGTACAACTTTGGCTCTGATTTTTTATTTTTTTTGACAAAAAGCTTTCCTATGACCTATGAGTTTCGTAAATTGGACTTTAATCGGAAAAAACTTATGGGAAAATTATCAAAACAACAATATTTTAGTCTTTAGTGGGACTCCTTAGCAACATTTTAACTATTTATTAAAAATGACAATATTTTAGATTGTTAAAAGGATGAGTTATGTATTTATTTTATTTTGATTAATTTGTAAGAATACAAATACTTAATAATAAAATAGAGAAAAACATTGAACATAAAACATCAAATAAGGAAAAAACGACTTTAAAACTTATTCAGTTACTTATTGAAAAGCGGGGATGTTGCCATTATTTCTGTGGAGCGTTTTTTTGCTCTTCCATTCTTAATAATTCCAAAAAAATAATTTGCAAAAAAAGTTTTGTCTTGCTATTTATTCAATTGATAATATTCCTAGCTTGTTCGAATCGAATTCGACATATTCTTAAAGCAGATGTTTTCGATTTCCACGACTATAATTTTGTCAGTTCCATTGAATAGCTAAATTTTCGACATCATGTATTTTTTTTTGTTGTTAATTTTGAATCGGTGAAATCTTTGTATGGTTTGAAATTTTTATTGAAATTTCGACATCAGTTCCATTGAAATCAAGAAAAATCACACGAACACGCTGAGGAACAATCATATGTTTTGTATCCAATATATGATGCATAAGGCTTGAAAGTGCTTGATTCTTTAGTTTCATAGTTGTTTTGTTTTTATTTGAATGCATACAATCTTTTTTTGTATCCCATTATGTTTAATGTAAATATTAACAATATGAAATTGTATATTTTTTTAGTTTTGAAGTTGTTGTTAATGTATGCATACAACTTTATAAAGGTTAAAAATCATAAATAAATTAAGAATTGTATACTAATATTTGTTGCCTTTCTGTAAATTCTGGATACAGTTTAATATTGGATGTAATCGATTATTGGATACAATTTTTTTGTTTTAGAATACTGCAAATATGTGATATCAAATATATATTTGTTAATGTAGTTATGGAAAGCATTAGTTTTCTAGTCATGCATTCTGGGAGGTGGAACGAGGATAATTGCTACGTTGATTACACTATAGAAGCAATTGTGATAAAAGAATATGCGACATTTAGAGAATTATTAGATGTTGTTTGTAAGCAAATTTGTAATGATTTGAGCTTCAACAGTGTGAAACTTATGTATAAAATAGAGGGTAGTAATGCACCTTTGGAAATACACAACGACATGGGTGTGAGGGTGTATGTGTCTTTGAAGAAAGATAACAAGGAATTGGCAAAGTATCCTCTATGTGTATCTGTATTTGTGAATGATTGTGAATTGGCTGATAGAAATATTTTGGAAGATGGATTTCAAATGAGTGGAATAGATGGAGGATATATAGTTGATACACAAGCATTAATGCTTAGTGTGCCGAACAATAGCGATTACATGAATTGCGACATTATTACAAACACCAAACATAAGGTAATATTGGAAGATCAAGTTTATAAGGACAAGGGAACATTAAAAGTTGTGATGACGCAATACGCAATTGAGCATAGATTTCAATGGAGAACGGATAGATCAAGTCAAACATGGTATGTGTATTTGGGTTGGATTTCTTTTATAATTGTATTTTCAATATGTTTTTTTTTTTTTACATAATATCAACATTTAATTTGTATTATACTAATTCTAATAATATAATATTCAAACAGTCATACACTTGTTTGTGTGTCTGAGAAATGTGGATGGATGCTGAAGTCGACAAGTATTAATAAATCTGGAATGTTCAGAATTAGAAAATTCATAGATGAGCACACATGTCTATTGAAAGATAAGGTGTATGATCAGCGACAAGCAACAAGCAATCTTATTGGAGGTATGATCCAACCCAAATTAGTTGATCATAAAAGGAAGTTAACGCCAAAGGATATACAACAAGATGTCAACCTAGCTCTTGGAGTAGATGTATCCTACGCAGTGGCATGGAAGGCTAAGGAAAAGGTTGTAATTTCTTTAAGGGGGACACCATCTGGATCTTATAGTAAATTGCCAAGCTACTTATACATATTGGACACTACCTACCCTGGATCACATATAACGATGAAGAAAACCGATGAAAATCAATTTCTGTATCTTTTTATTTCTCTCTTCTCGTTCATAAAAGATTTTGAGTGTTGTAGACCAATTGTCGTAGTTGATGGCAACCATCTCAGGGGGACGTATAATGGTACATTTGTTTATGCGAGTACTGTTGACGGAGCAGGTATTCGAATTATAATATATGAAATTTGATTCGGTACTTAAAATTGTATTTCTTTATGAAGAATAATTTTATCAATGTTATGTGTATAGGAAATGTGTTGCCGCTAGCATATGGAATTATTGATTCAGAAAATGATGCATCCTGGACTTGATTTTTTGAACAGTTTAGAGTAGCATATGGAGTTAAAGATAACATGTGTGTTGTTTCCGATCGAAATGAGAGTATTATAAACGCAGTTTCAAGGGTATTTGATGGAGTCCCTCATTATGCCTTCATTTGGCATCTATGGAAAAATGTGAAACATTATTTAAAAAGTCACACAATAGTCTTTCGAAAGTTTTTATGGGATGGCAAAGGCATACAAACAATCAGAATTCGATGAACTGATGGAAAAGGTTGAACAAGTTGATGTTCGTGTAAAGAATTACTTGGAATCAGCAGGTTATGAATAATGGGCTAGGGTATATGCAACAGTTGATCGAGGATTTGTTATGACATCAAACATAGTTGAGTGCATAAATGCTTGTTTGGTTGAAGCAAGGGAATTACCAATATACGACTTTCTTGAGGAAGTAAGACAAATGTTTGCAAGATGGAATTTCAAAAATCATACGTCTGCTTCACATACTTTCACCACACTTTGTGGTAAACCTCAAGAGATGCTCGTTGCTAATGAAGAAGCATCATTACGTATGAAGGTATGCTGTTATATTTTACTATATGTTTATCAACATGATATAACATAGCTGATTTTTTATGTGTACATTGTTCATAACATATTTGATTTGTTGTAGATTGTACCATCAAATAATTATGTGTACAGTGTTCATCACGAAGGTAGAACCTATATTGTCTGTCTGGAAAATAAAACTTGTACTTGCAAGAGGTTTCAATTGGATGAAATAACATGTTCGCATGCTTGGGCCGTTTTAAAGAAGAAACATTTTGATGTTGGACCATATTGTTCCGACATGTACAAGCCAAGTAACTTGTTGGATACATACAGCATTCCAATTTTTCCCTTAGGTGATCAAAACGAGTGGAATGTACCTGGGTATATTAAGGACGACATTGTGCGGCCTCCAAAGCACAAAAAGCTACCTGGAAGGCCATCCAAAAAGTATTGTGACAAGGCGTACATCGAGCTATATGGGAAGAAGAGCAAGAATTCTTGCAGTACTTGTGGGTTAATGGGGCACAATAGGCGTTCGTGTAGGAATGGACCGTGTATTGTTTAGTTAATGATGCTTTAATTTTATATCTTATTAGAGTGGAATTGTTTCCCAAATTCTAATGCCCTCTGTTTTATATATTTACTATCTTGGAATTCTTTGTATATGTTTTCATTCGAAATGTATTCATATCCATGTTATTAATTTATATTTGTTGTATTTAACGTGTATTCACAAAAAAATATAAATACAAATTAGTAGTAAAATAAAATAATATTGAAAATACTTTTTTGGTGAAAAACATAACAAATACAATAATTTGTATTCAAACTAAATTGTATTTATAATTGACTTTAAAATTATACTTACTATTTCTCTGGATAAGTTTATATTACAAAAAATCATGATGTATTCCAATATCAGTTAGTATCCCAAACATCATGATGTATTTCAATATCATTTTGTATTCCCTTCTTATAATGTATTCATCGCCATTTTACAGTAATAAAACCAGAATTTCATAACTTTAGACAATCAACCATAATTCATCCGGCCAAATGTCTTTTACCTTACTACAGCACAGTTGCCACAATGATTACAAAGCACACAGCAGGCTACGCTTATAAAACACACATCCGGCCAAATGTTTTTTTTGGATGTTTTGTATCCAATATATGATGCATAACGCTTGAAATTTTCGTTTCATAGATGCTTTCTTTTTATTTGAGTGCATACAATCTTTTTGTATCCCATTATGTTTAATGTAAATATTAACAATATGAAATTGTATTTTTTTTTTAGTTTGGAATTTGTTTTTTTTTTAAATACATAAACTATTTTGTATTCCAGAAAGTTAATGTAATTAGTAACAACATAGGGATAGAGTCGTAAAAATTTTGTGATAAATTCTGGATACAATTAAATATTGGATTTTTCATTTTTTTGATGTTTTATGTTCCATACTATTTTCTAACCAAAATATGCAGGATATATACCTGCAAAATTATTAAGACTTGTACAATATACACATGAATATAAAACCAGAACTTCAAAACATTAAAATTATATTAACTAAGAAGATTGAACCATAACTTCAAGAGTTTTTACATTAATAAAATCAGTACTGGAAAACTTTAGAAGGGTTCCATAGCAATACAAAAACTAATGTATAATAACACACCAAAGCATAGACAATGACTAATCTATTTGAATTGTATCATTATCCTCAAATGCTACATTAATCCTGCTATGTCGCGGAGGTGCTTCATTGTCACTTATTGATCCGGCATCATTTTCTTGTTGGCCATAATTCCAAAAGAAGTGTAGCGTATCTTGACCGTAGAAATGATGCATCCAAATTGCCCGCTAGAATCCCTTGTTCGTATGATAGGTATTCGGCAAAAGCTAGCATATAAATACCGCAATCCCTACAATACAACACATTAAAAATAAACAATATAAAATTGATGATTTGATAATAGTAAATTCAAAATAATATAGAAACTTACAAAGTCCCATGTGTCTGTTGAGGAACATTATCAATGAAGACTATATCAAAGAACTCATTCTCTTCTTGAGCTTGCAATACATCAATTCCTTTATTCTTGTAATAGTCATTCATTGTTAATTTTAAAGGGATCAACTGAGACAGCTTAACTATCTCTGCCTTGATAGCTGTTTCATGGCCTGCTGCTCTATATGAGTCATAACGTTGATACGTTTATCATTCAGTGAAATCACTGCCAATACCTAATGGAATTCATCCTTAACATGGACAGGAACAAAAACATGATCAACCATATGCCAAGGGATAGCAGCATGCATTATATACCCTCTAATGTATTCACCAATGACATGCTCTTCATCAGCACAACCAACATCACCGTCTAAATCCAAATATTTTTCCCAAATAGAAGAAATCTTTGAACTAAATACACAATCTACAATTGTGTATTTGTAGTTGCTTCCAACTTCATACTTAACTTTTTTTACGGAGATAATAGAAAATCACATCGATATGCTGACAAATTTAAAAACAAAGGTATAAATAATGTAACTACTAATCAACATTGTTAGTAAAGATGAAGATAAGTAATTATTACTGAATTGTCCAATAACTGTCCTTTGAAATACAGATTATAGAAATAGTTCTTATTGTTTATTAGGAGAACGCCAAGATTTATGGCCACAGGGAAGTCAGCTAGATGCTTCTTGTAATGGTCTTGATCATGCTTCCTAAAAACAGAATAAAAATTGAAAAAAATATACCATTCATTAAATATATTTACTAATTCCAGCAATGAGATACAAAATTTATCAAGACAACACAGATGCACCTAACAAAAACTGGTGTTTAAACACGAACAAACATTTTACCGAATACAAAAATAGAAATAGTTATGTTGTAAAAATATATTGTAATTATTTCTCAACTACTTACTTTTTGTCGTGCTTTGTAAGCAAGCCATCTCGGACCCATGAACGAAATGCATCCCACAAAGGTATATCATAATTGCCAGAGATCAAATCAAATATGAATGGGTGTTTCAGTTCAAAAATATGGGGCTGACTTGATGAACTACCTGAAATGGTTACAAAATAATAAATTAAAACACACTAACACTAGTAATAAAAAAAAATGATTACATTAAAAAAAGTTAGAAAAATTGAAATACTATACCAACAGATGATCTAAAATTGGTCAGATACAGAGATATATTATAAGGACCTGGACGTCTATTCCTACGCGTATGTAACGGTGTCTGTTCAAATCATGCATCATTCTCTCTTCGCTCGTACAAAACTGGACATCGATAGTATTCTGATCTGTTGTAGTTGTAATGTGATCCGCAATTATAGTTGGCAGTTGTGCGGTGTGTCCTACAATTGTGGTTGGCTGCGGTGCGATGCTACTCTTTATAGAAGTGAGACTAGGCATGAATTGATCGTCCAATTCAAACTGTGAATCTATTGTCACATTCATGAGATCCATAGCCTGGATAGGGACTGGACATGGGAATTGTTCCTCATCGTGTTCATGTGCTTTTTTTGGGGTATATCAAATGCAAAGCTTGGCTGATTTACCTGGTAAGTTAATAAAAATATAACATCCTTATATCTAATAAAACTAATAATGATATAAGTAATCTGCCTACAAAATTAAATAACGTACTCTAGGCACTATAGGTCTTGGAGCACTGAATACATCATCCATTTTAATCAGATTTCGAACAAGAGTGTTGAGACAAAAAACCTTATAATATGAAAAATTATAAATGGAATTGATAAGATGAAATTGAACATGTATTGAGAACTGAAAATTAAGGCAAATATGCATATTGTATTCACATATTATGATGGACAACACATCAAAAAATGGAGTATTGATATTTAAACAAAAGTACAATCTAAAACCTGTCTTACCTGGGGATCATCAGATTTGGAACCTATTCCATCTGGATTGTTGATGGTCTTAAAACAAACATAAAAGAATAAAAACACATGAATAATTATTAGTTAATGGATACATCAGTGAAAACTCCTTGTCCAATTTCAATTCAAATGTTAATGTTAATTATTGATTTGGAAGAGATTCCGAGATATAATAAACTAATAAAAACATATGAACAAATGTTAATGGATACAACAGTGAAAATTCCTTGTCCAATTCAAATGATAACGATTAATGGATAAAATATTATGGCGGTTAATACGTGTAAGCATAAATCGTGTTAAGATTGCTGGATACAGTTTGATCGAAAAAGTATACATTGAAAGTATATACATGTATACAAATATAAATATCAGAGGCTTATAAAGGATAATGAATAGCTATGTATTGAGTAGAAAATACAATAAAAAATTTGACTTACTTGGGGCACAACATTTTCTGTATCACTGACATCTGAAATGTTGATAGTCTTAACAGAGAAATAAAAAGCCAAGAAACATATATTCAGATGTTAATGGATACAACTTTATAAGGGTTAATAAATTCAAATTGCGTAAAATACACCATAATAATAGTCTTGTATACAGTTTGATAAAAAATGAAATATATATAAATTCATATTGAACCAAATTAATAAAAGATGCAACTAACTAAAAAACTACAAGTACCTCCAAATTCCCAACTTCCAATTTGTCAAACTGAACTACCTGCACTTGATTCTATGGAGATTCAGGAAATGAAGTATATGGTGATTTATACCTCTCTTTATCGTTTAAATTTGGAGGGACAATGGGATCATCATAATGTCTGACCTGTGTTATATTACAACATAATACATTAATGAATAGTTGAAATACATTACATCATATTATTTGTTTATAACGAACCTCCTGCTCAGTCTGTTTAGAATTAATGGCTATCAGACCATTCTTGAAGTTATCGTTGATCAATTTGCGAATGTGTCACGACCCGGGAGCACCCCCTAGTCGTAACCGGCGTACTCGACCTCGAAGAGGTCTAATACAAGCCTCTTAGCATTCATTCATCGCATAGACACAAAAAACCATAAGGAATTTAAAACTTTCTTTACCAAGAAAATATTTCATAAAAAAAATATATAGCAAGCGGAAGACTTTCTAGACTTTATACATGATGTCTCAAAACCATCTAATACTTTAGAGTACAAAATTCGGGACCAATCCCATACACAACTTAAACAATACTAAAAAGACATAAAAGAACATATGGGGTATTGTCCTCGAATATATGAGGACTCACCAAGTCTTCATCTTCAACACTTAGAAACCTATCAAATAGCCATGACATGTCATCATCTCCAAATCCCTACACTTTAGTCCAAAAAGGGAAAGAAAGGGGTTAGCACAATTAAGTACTAAGTATGGAGACCATGCAAAAACATGCCAAAAAGGACATTTTCAAGGAAGTAAATGTTTTCATATCATTTGATAAAACCTTTCCTTTACAAGTATAAGAGACATAATACAAGTCAACATTAACATATAAGACCATACCCAACCATACATATACTCAACATATGTCCATATACAACCCATGCTTAACTTTAAAAGAACACATGTCATTTCATTACAATAGG